TCATCGGCATGATCTCATCCTCCATCCTAATGTGCTGCTTTTGAGCTTGTGGTCGGGGAGGTGGATGCTCTTCTTAGGAGGGCAGGAGCAGAGGTGGTATTCAGCAGCTTCTGACCAGTTTGGGAGAACTGGTAGTGGAAATTTTGAGTAGTTTGGAGAACCGGTAAATACTACCTCTGACTGNCAACTTCTGAAGGCAAAGCATTCCACTGGTTGTTCTCATCATTGGGAAATTTCTCCTTAGTTCTAGGTTGTTTTTCCCTTTGCTTCAATCCATTATTTTCTCTTTGCTTCAGTCCATTATTTCTTGACTTGCCTTCTGGTGCTTTAGAAAACAGGTTGACCCCCACATCTTAGTAGTGGGGAAGCATCAGCTTACCATGAACAAGTTAAACCTTTAAGGCAAGAATCCTAACCTGGTGCTTCCTCGCTACTAAAGATGTGGGGGTCAACCTTGTAGTGTGTCATTTTCGCTGTGATCTGTGAGAAGAGATTGAAACACATATGGTGCCAGACAACTGGAAAGGAGTTGATGCAATTCCAAAAGTGGTGGGGAGGACCTGAGTGCAAACTTTCTTGACAATAACTAGTTCGTCGATCATGCAAATGCAGTGGACATAATATATCTTGATTTCAGTCGACCATTCAACAAAGCCTTCTTTGTGATTCCAATCAAGAAGATGGCAAAATGTGACTGTGCTAAGCTATCATTACTTGGAACATGCTTGATTGAACAGGAGCTCCAGGGTTAAAACATTATCAGATTGGCAGGTGACAAAAAGACAGGAGGATAGCAACCCTTTAAAGCAGGAGTTTTCAGGCGAGGTGTACAGTTTGGAGAGCTGCAGAGAGAGTGCAAGGGAAGGGTGAAGAACCTTCTTATTGTACATTGTTGCAATCAATCATTGTTTCTCAAAGTTTCATTGAATTGTTTTCATTGTTCATGTGTGTTCATATGGAGGCTTGGATTTTAAAGGGATGGGTGGGTCTGTATATTAAGATTATACTAAAGGGAGGTGCAATGGCAAAAGGTTTAAGAACTCCATCTTGGAGGGAATATTTAATAACAAGCTAGAAAAATGGTCAGAAACAAGTAAGATACATTTCTTTTTTTAAAAAAAATCCCCCAAAACTTTTACGGTGGTATTTTCGGACTATTTAGAAGACCAATTTGTGGAGATAAACTCCATTGGAGAGTGAAAAGGTCAAATGCAGATAGCTCCAGAGCTGATGATGGGCAGAAGCTGGAGTCCACAGTCTTCTGGTCTGGCTTGCGCTGATCTGCAATCTTGTATTTCACTTTCTCAGTATCAAAAACTTCTCCCTCTTGATGTTTGGGCTTATGCAGCTTTTTCTTCTTGAAGTAAACATCACTGAGATGCTTTAGAACTTTGACCCCCGAGACATCAACCTTAGTCAAAGTGGCAATGACAAATTTTTGGTGAGCTCTGCGCAGAGGGACACGGTTGATAGCCAAAGGGCCCTGTCATAGGCAACAGTCCACTTCCAAGCTGCTTCAAGAAAATCACCCGCTTGCCCCTGTGGCAGCCAGTGAGAAGAATCACCACCATTCCCAGGGAAGATACATTTCATCAGGAACAAATATAAAGCTTTTTATTTGGGCATGAAAAACGTAAGGCATGGATATAAGCAGCAGAACATGCAGAAAAGATCTGGGTGTGTTGGTGGTCCAACATGAGCCAATACTATGATGCAGCTGTAAGAAGCAGCAAATACAATGCTGCATCAACACAAGAAGTATAATCAAAAGAAATCAATCAATCAGAATGGAGCTGGAAGGGATCTTGGAGGTCTTCTAGTCCAACCCCCTGCTTGAGCAGGAGACCCTATCATTTCAGACACGTGACTGTCCAGTCTTTTCTTAAAAACCTCCAGTGGTGAAGCACCTACAATTTCTGAAGACAAGCTGTTCCACTGATTAATTGTTCTCACTGTTTGGAAGTTTCTCCTTAATTCCCGGTTGTTTCTCTCCTTGATTAGTTTCCATCCATTGTTTCTTGTCTTGTCTTCTGGTGCTTTTAAAAATAAGTAGACCCCCCTTCTCCTTTGTGGCAGCCCCTCAGATACTGGAATGCTGCTATCATGTAACCCTAGCCTTGCTTTTCTCTAGATTAGCCAAATTCCTGCAACCGTTCTTCACACATTTTTGTCTCCAGATCTTTAATCATCTTAGTTGTTCTTCTTTGCACTTTTTCCAAAGTCTCAACATCCTTTTTGTAATGTGGTGACCAAAACTGGATGTGGTATGACAGGTGTGGCCTTACTAAGACTTTATAAAGTGGTACTAATACTTCACATGATTTTGATTCTATGCCTCTGTTTATACAACCAAGGATTATATTCGCTTTTTTGGCTGCTGCTGCACACTACTGGCTCATGTTTAAGTGATGATCCAAGGTCCCTCTCACAGTTATTGTTTTTGAGTCAGATTTCATCTAATCTGCATTTTTGGTTTTTCCTGCCTAGGTGAAAAACCTTGCTTTTCTTAAATTTCATTTTGTTGGATAGGTCCCATTGTTCAGGCCTGTCAAGATCTTTTTGGATCCTGAGCTTGTCTTCTGGGGTGTTGGCTATTCCTGCCAGCTTAGTGTTGTCTGCAAATTTGATGAGTTCCCCTTCTATTCCCTCATCTAAGTCATTTATGAAGAATACTGGGCCCAAGATGGAAACTTGTGATGTCCCACTGTTTACTTCCCTCCATGTAGAGGTTTAGGGACTACTTGTTGAGTCTGGTTTGTCAGTCAGTTACAAATCCATCTGGTGGTGATGCTGTCTATCCCACATTTTTTTAGCTTATCAAGAAGTACCATATTTTTCGGAGTATAAGATGAACTTTTCCTCCCCCCCCCCAATAACAACATGGAAATGTTGGTCTTCCCAAAGACCCTCCCCCACTTCCCATTTTTGCAAAAAACAGGTGAATAACGGAGGCATTTTTGCCTTCCCCCAGCTCCCAGAAGCACTCTGCAGGTTTCAGCAGGGCTGGGGAAAGGCAAAAATGCCCCCATTTTTGCAATAAAACCTGCCCATTTTGCAAAAACTGGGGCATTTTTGCCTTCCCCCAGCCTTCAGAATGCTCCTGGGGGCTGGGGGGGCAAAAACTTTTTTTTTATTACTTACCTCTTCGAAATATTGGTGCGTCTTATACACTGGTGCATCTTATGGTCCGAAAAATATGGTAGGTTATGTTCTACTTTGTTAGATGCCTTACATAAGTCTAATTATACTATAACCATACTATGTCCACAGCATTTAACTGATCTACTAATTTAGTCACATTGTCAAAGAATAAAATAAGATTGGTCTGGCATCCCTTTATTCTTTGTTGGTCTGCCCATACCTAGAAAATTCGGTGCTCTGTTTTCAAAAGGACTCTGAAAAACTGGAGCGTATCCAGAGGAGAGCAACCAAAATGATAGGCAGGAAAAAATCCTATGAATAAGACTTGATGGCAATGAATGTCTACCTAGAGAGAAGACAGGGATGAGACATGGTAACTGTCTACAAGCATCTGAAAGGCTGTTGAAGACAGGGCAGAATTATTCAAAGTTATTTCAGAAGACAGCACAAAAGACAAGGGATTTTAATTACAAGTCAAATTAGGTTGAATATCAGGAAGAATTTCCAGATAGTTAAGAGCTGTTCTCAGCTATTGAACTGACAGCATGTGATGCACCTAAAGTTTGGATAATCATTTGCTAGGGGTACTGAAGTAAGGGATTTCTGAATTGAGCAGGGAACTGGATTAGAGGATCCTTATTCCTCTATCCTACAATTCTGATGTTCAGTATGATTCAATATTTCAGCAATTACAAGTTTCAAACCACTATCAGCATCATCGGCATGATCTCATCCTCCATCCTAATGTGCTGCTTTTGAGCTTGTGGTCGGGGAGGTGGATGCTCTTCTTAGGAGGGCAGGAGCAGAGGTGGTATTCAGCAGCTTCTGACCAGTTTGGGAGAACTGGTAGTGGAAATTTTGAGTAGTTTGGAGAACCGGTAAATACTACCTCTGACTGGCCTTGCCCCATCTATTCTCTGCCTCCTGAGTCCTAGCTGATCGGGAGGAAATGGGGATTTTGCAGTATCCTTCTCCTGCCAGGTCTACCAAGCCATGCCCCTCCAAGCAATGCCCACAGAACCGGTAGCAAAAAAAATAATAATCCCACCACTGCGGGAGGACCCGCTGAGACCAGAGGCTGGCCTTGGATTCTTCCACAGGTAAAGCCCATCCTATGTCACCTCCAGCCTGTCCACTTGGTGGACCTTTCACCTCAAAAGCCCTGCCCAGCACTATCACATTTTACTGGGGTGGGATTCCTGGGAGGCGGGGGTTATAGCAAAGGTTGAAGAAGAAAAAACCACAGGCACAATACAGTAGCACTGGCAAACACCTTTTGTTCAGCATCCTCTGGGCGGTTGACCAATCCCGATTCCTAATCCCCAATCCTAGAAATTGGAAGAGGGGGAGAGCATTGCAATTAAAAATGGAAATCGACGATTTCAAGCTGGGGAATAGATAGGAGACATGAGAACCACCTGAGCCGCTTAAGGCTTGCCCCCCCCCCCCTTACACCCGGATCGTAGGACACCCCACCCCCGGCTCCCGGCAGCTAGTCGGCCTCCGAAACGCCTAATATCCAGCGACCGTCCGGCGTCGGAGGAGGGAGCGTGAATTAACGCTGTGGGTGCGATTTGGATGTTCGGGGCTTCGCACAAAAAGTGGAAGGAAGTTTTTGCAGCGCCTTGCCTGTCTGTGTACAGTACAGCGCACGGTGGTATAAGGCGCTTCTCATACTCCGGCCAGGAAGGGAACTAGGGTGGGGGCTGCTAGGAGCCGCGGAAAGGGGTTCCGATCCCGGTCCGGTCCCGGGAGAAGAAGTCGAAGGGAGCCGGACAGGCGTCGCGGCGCAGGGCCTTTTGGCAGGCTGCCGAATGAGAAACTAGGACTCCCGCTCGCCGGCTGCCCTTTCGCCGGCCTGAGCGTTTGCAACGCTCTTGGCCGAGCGGAGCTCACACCCTTGCCTCCTTTTGGACGGAGCGGTCACTAAGCGCGGTCCGTCTGGTCGTGGGAAGCCCCGCGGGCGAAGGGGAGCGGAAAGGCCGGCCTTCAAAGGCTCGGAAGGTGCCGGGAAGATTTTGCAAAGGCGCCCGGAAAGATTGCAGCGCTGTGAGAACAAGCTCACTTCGCTCCCAGCGGGACGCAGCTCCTGGTCACAGGTGAGTCTCAAAGCGCTCCGCTTCGCCTTCTCGTCCTCAACTCCCCCGGGAGGGACCCCCATGGCTTGGCAGGGAGCGAGGCTGGGTCGTTCCGAGTGGCAGAGGGGTCAGATCGCCGGGCGGAAAGTCTTTCATTGCCGCCCCGGGTAGTAGGATGGCTGGGTTCGTCTTTCCCAGGGAGTCCTCCACACTCGCCTTTCGTTAGACGTGCGAAGGGAGCGCCCAAGGTGCCCGCTTGGCTCCCTCCCAGCAGGAAGGTCCCGCAAGATGCCTGGAGGATTCAACCCAGCGCGGCGGTGGGTGGGTGGGTGGATGGGAGAAAGCAGCGGAGGAAACGCTGGAGCCCTCCGTCTCCTCCCCAGTTCATGCAGCAGAAGGGCTTTCCGCTTGCCCTGGCCGGTGCAAAGCGTCAGCGACGTCCTCGATCAGTCCGCTTGGGCGAAGGACAAACTGCACCCGAGGCTGGGGAAGAGGCAACCCTCCTGTCACAGGATCTGATCCTGCGTTGCCGAAAATAAGCCGGCAGGTCCTCCCGACCAGTCGCCTCTTTCGCAGCTTTCGGAGAACTTGTTGGGAAAGGCTGGTCTCCAGTGAAGCTGGAAAGCGCGGCGAGGTTTGGAAAGGTTTGGCCAGCTGGTCGCTGAGATCCGCTCTGGAAGTGGACCCCTGGAGCCTCCCAAGCGGTTCTGGCTTTAAGAAAAACTCCAACTCGGAGGCAGCTCTAGGCAGGTTTCATGCCGCCTTTCCCGACCAAGTTGCTTTTCAGTTATACTAGACCATACTTTCCATTATGCTCAGGCTGTTGGGAACTGCTGTCCGAGGCGCATGGGTGGTTGCTAATTAGGAAAGGCTGATTTAATTGAACTAATGCTTTTAGTGGTGGGATGCTTTCCAGTCATTTTTTTTTTAAACTCCTGGTGAGGCTCCAAATAAGACCCTGCAGTTTTCTTGGCAAGGCTTTTCAGGAGTGGTTTTCCATTACCTGCTTCCTAGGGCTGAAAAAGAGTGACTGGCTCAAGGCACTCAACTGGCTTTGTGCCCAAGGTGGGACTAGAACTCATGGTCTTCTGATATCTAACCGATGTCTTGGTCACTATAATCTGTCTCTCAGAGCAATTTAAGGGTTATCAAATTTAGATCATCCAAGCAACTTTAAAAACAAAGCAGTAGCAAGACCACACTTTATATCTAACAGTTAAAATCAGGAGACCCCCAACTGAGTCTTGCGCTAGTTTATTCACTGTTGTTGGCATTTGTTTGGCCTATTTATCTTACGTCAAAGTTTTTTTGGGGGGAAAAATCTAGAAAAATGCTGGCTTAAGGAATACTTTAGTATAAACAATTTTAAAAGCAAGCCCAGCCAGAGGAAATGGATGCTGCCATTCACAATTTTGAAAATACCCTGGAGCTAAAACCAGAGACTTTATTCTGTTTTAGTCATCCTGTTCATTCATATGATTCAAGGGTACCATTGCCATTAATTGGTCTGCTTAGTAAAAGCATCCATCCAAGTGGTAGCAAGTGACATAATTAAACTGAAGTTCAGTCTTCTCCAACTTCATGCCTGCCAATACACACACACACACACACACACACACACACACAGAGTAAGGATACAAGCAACAATTTGTTTTCGTAGATTTTCACAGGTACAGGTATGCAGGTCTTGGCATATTCGGGTCTTTTTCTGTGTAAGATTGAGAGTATTTTAGCAATGTTTTGATGAGGTCCCACTCGCCATCTTCAGGCTGGTGCCATTGGCTTCGTGCTTGTGCAAGCACAAGCACGAAGCCAAATGCACCAACCTGAAGATGGTGAGTGGGACCTCATCAAAACGTCGCCAAGATACTCTCAATCTTACAATACGCCAAGATATATATATATATATATATATATATATATATCCAGCTGGAATGTTTCCAGACATTATGCGACTTCAACATGGAATATCTGCTGCCACTCCAAACCTTTCTTGGAGGGTATGAAGCTTTCATGATAGGCAGCTTCGTTTCTAAGTCTTAATTCTAATCACAGGTTAAGGTTGGCTGTCGATAAGGGCAAAACACGGGTTATTTCTCCCCTGCAGATCCAGTGTGCGACAAATGGCCACAACCAAGCGTCGTTCTCCTGAAACCTTTATGCCACAAAAAGCGTATCACCCTTGTGTGCCTGGCCCAGGGCTTCCGCTACGAGTGGCCGCTGGATGTGATCTGGAAGTGCAATAACAAAAAGATTGACCGACTCTCCTCTGCTACTGAGCCAGTCAAGAAAGAAGGGGAGTGCAACTTCGCCACTGCCAGCCGCCTGAGTGTGTTGGCAGAGGAGTGGCGGAAAGGCTACAACTATTCCTGCCATGTCAAGCAAACGGGGGAGGAGATGAGTGACTGGGTGGAGAGCAGTCCAGACCACGAGACAGGTAAGGAAATGCTGGGCAATTAATCAAGCAGCAGGGGCATGAATCAACTAGCTGAGTTCTGCAATCAGGAAGATGTGGCCAGAAAGTGGCTTTGTCTTCTTCCTTTCTGGGCCTTGGAGGTTGATTTACTAATGGTCAAGCCCATCTGCCTCCCGCATCCATGTAGCTGTTTATTATTGGATCAGCCATGTAAAGTCAGAGTTTTACAAGGAAGAGGGTTGAGCAGAACTGACAAAATGGCAAACTATACCCATCACCTCTACTGCCATATACATACACAGAGGGGAAGAGGGAGAGGGAGAGAGAAAGAGAGGGAGGGAGGGAGGGAGGGCGAGAGAGAGTGGGGCCTGCTTAGACTCCAACAGTCAAATTGTTCTGGCAGATGGCTGGGGCAAAAATCCTGCAATTTTCCCTAGAAGCACCAGTAATAAATCACATTTTAAAATTAACAATTTGCTACTTTTGCATGACGTATCCAAGAGGACTGACCAAGACCTGTTACTTATTTATTGAAAGGATTAGCATTCAGTAGAATGATATGGAAAAAGTCCAACTCAAAACATTTGGGTTGCCAGCTTTACAAACTGAATGGGGGAGGGGGTATTAAAATATCAGCCTGAAATGTCTCCTTAAGCGTGCCGCTAGCTTCGGTTACAACAGCAACCTCTTCTTTCCTTCTAGCTTCAGAATCAGCTTCAGGTATCTCTGAGGTTCAACTCAGCCTTTATGCGGGGCAGTTTATATTCCTCCTACTAGGGGTCAAAAGCTTGGCCTACAGTGCTATTCTGGGCATCTACAAGTTCTATAGAAAGAAAGGTAAGAGACAACTGTCTCGGCTAACAAAGAACTTTTTTTTTATTCTGTTTAAATATCATATTGATAGTTTAATTATAATGTATTAAATAAACCACAAATGACTTTACTCACACAACATGCTAAAGCTAAACCAACAAATTATGGTGACATCTTCACGCTAAGGGTAATTAAACCACATTATAGTTTAATGTGAAGTACAAATCCTACCTTTGTATAGCAAAGACCCTGATAGTTGTTGGGTATAAAGTAAACACTCTCTGAGGTGTCTTATTTGGGACATACGCTTAAGTGACAGGCAACCATGTGTTGATGGTCATTGCTGACTGTATTCCTACATCTAAATTTACTTCCTTTGTAGGTCTCTAATTGTGTTACCTGCTACAGCAGTATTCACTCCCTTACCAGCCAAGGCACAGATTTACATCTAGCTGCAGGCCTTTCCCAGTGAAGATCCATTCCATTCTGAAGTTTCCACATCCTTCATCTCAGCATCTTCCTTCCAGAGGGACTCATTGGTCACTTTATATTAAATTGTTCTATGCCTTGAGAAAATTTCAATACATATTTTCTGCCTCACAATAAAGATGTTCTGTTTCCTGATTTTTGTGTGGAAAGTATTAATCCAGGTGGGTTTTCATACTGTCTCCGAATATTGGGTGAGCAAGAGGAAACTGCATCTATTCAGAGGAAATTATGATGACACATTTTTCCCATATAGCTCTCTTCCAAATCACATCACCGCTCTCGTTAAATCCTGGGTCGCCTGTACTTCACATGTTGGTTGGACTTCATGGCATTCAGAATCTTCTGATGTCCTCCATCAAGGCAATGTGAATGTAGAAAGGAACAATGTCACGGTTGGATGGGCAACTTTCATAAAATGTGCTGGAATATGAATCCTGATAATAGCATCATACTGTGCTTCTATCACCATAGTCAACGGAAATGAAAACACAGATGGTTTCATTAGAACTGGTTCAGGGAAAGAAGGAAATAATTGTGATGGTTGCATAGTGGGAGTGAGGATGGATGCCATTCAAGTCATGTCAAACCTATTATCTAAGCTAGGTTTCAGCCTTAGACTCATCCAGGTGCATTTCCCATAATTTCCCAGCCAGCAAGTCTGAGGGTTGGAGGACAAAGTTTGGGATTAGACTTACAACAGCCTAATGAAATCTATTTGTTTGTATATTGGGAACAAAGCTGATAAATGAACAGCACTTTCAGTTTTCATTTTATAGTGTTGTATAGAAAGTACATTGCATCTGCAAGTATCTAGTTAGGTGATTTGAGAGAAATCTTAATCTTATTCTTTTATATTAGTTAATGAAATGTATTGATTTTATTTATCTGTTGATAAACAAATAATTCCCTCAACACTGTCAAACTATTTACTAAGTCTGCATTACGATTACTAATAACCTTCTCATTGTTCCTATCACCCATCTCCTCCCACTTGTGACTGTAACTTTGTTGCTTGTATCCTTACAATTTATATTGATTGTTTTCTAGTATGATTTGATTGCTTATTTGTACCCTATGTCTATCATTAAGTGTCATGCCTTATGATTCATGGCGAATGTATCTTTTCTTTTATGTATACTGAAAGCATATGCACCAAAGACAAATTCCTTGTGTGTCCAATCACACTTGGCCAATAAAGAATTCTATTCTATTCTATTCTATTCTATTCTATTCTATTGATTAAATCAGATGTTAGGTTTTTTAATGTGAAAGGATAAGGATGTAAGTTAAAAGCATGTTTCAAACAATAACCAGTAATCCTTCAGATGAAGAATTTTGCTATGTTCATATAACAAATTGATTCTTGGTTTGCTTAAAAATGGCTTCTGGAATAAACCATAATATGTTTATAAAAGTGAATCTACAGTTTAAACACTGCATTCTAAACCCAAAACCCACATAGATTGATAATAAAGTCCTACTTAAATATAGATTTTTTTTTCAAAATTTCAAAAATATAACACTAGATATATATTTAAGATGGAGAAAGTTAAAACAATATTAATTAAGAGAAATCATAGTCATTAAATTGAACATTCTGCCAAGGTTTAATTTTCTGTCCAATACTCCCAATAAAAAATTGAAAATAAAATATTAAATGGTGGATAAAGACAAGTAACAATTTTGATGGACTAATAAATGATTGAGAATTAAATTTAAGTTACTACTTAACTTAAATTTGAAGGAACAAGAGGGTTCAGCAACTCCAGCCACCTTACTGTCTAACTTGGATTACAGATTGGATCATATCATCATAACATCTTATGGTTGAGTTGCGTTTATTGAAAGAACAGAAATCCCAGATGATTTGTACAAAAATCTTTGGACTGATACAACAGAAATAAATGGCTTGTAGAGAGATCATGCAATAATAAAACACTGTTTTTAAAAATGTGCTAAATACAGGAGAAGAATGACTTATTTCTCACCTAGTTATTAAAAATTTATTTTAATAAAGAGGAAGCAAACTCAGTAGGGAAATAACAATTTATATAAACTGCAAGATTTGATTATTAAGAAAATATTTTGAAACTCTTTGAAAATGCCCGTTTTCATTTTTCAAATAAACATTATAGATGTAAAAAAGAAATCTCAAGAAAACAGTTAAAAGAATCTCAAAAATGAGTGGGAACACTTGGAGACTCTTAATGAATTTGAAAACCCTTTAAAGCAAATTCAGAGCATTTTCCAGGGCTTATATATTGAAATATGTTCAGAAACCAAACAATTTAAAGAGGCTGTGATTAAATGGATGAAGATCCTACATATAATATTTATTATATCTCAAGAGGAATTTCAATGGGGAAAAAACATTAAATTCACACCAAACATACTTAGAAAAAACTGGTATCAGGTATTTTATTGCTGATGTTTCATTCCAGCATTGTTTGCTAAAATGGGCAGTTCACTCTCTAAAAATAGTTGGTAAAGTAACAGCCAGGTTGGATCATTTTTCCATACTTGGTGGCAAGCTGGACAATTCCAATGATTGAATAGAATGAAACAAATTCATAAACCTGAATTTCTTTTCCAACTTGCTATTAAATACTCAGTCATTTAAAACTAATTAAGAAATATTGAAAAATTTAATCTAAACCAATCATGCTGGTAAATTCACTATTTAGTTACTCTAGGTTTTCTTTTTTTTCTTCTTGTTTCTCTTTTTCCCCTTGTCTAAAAAAAATAGTTAACAACATACAATTAAAACACACACACACACACACACACACACACACACAGAGACATTTTGGTTTAGTATGCTGTGACCACAGGGTTTTATTCCCCTGTTCAGGCTAGCCTAGCATACGAATCATGAGGTGCAGGAATGGTTCTGTCCCTCCTATGTTGCCAAGGCATTGCATTGGATTCAAGTTGGATACTTTAGGGATTTAGTGAACAAATAAATTAAATTTCTAACCTAGACTATTTATGATTGGGATGACACTGTACATTTCTCACCTCCTGCTGTTCTGTACTAGTCTGCAATGTTTTACATTTAATTTCTTTGCAGCCTGAAGTTCAGCAATAGATATATCTTCAAAGCATGTGCGTTGTTTCAAATTGGGGGCCACATGCGACCAGGATAAATAAATGAATGGTGAGGAGAACAGAACCATATTTAAATTTAATTAAAATGTCAAAACAACGACTGTCCCAAAGGTGCTTTTTCAGAGGCAACTGGACTTTCTGGGGTTTCTTTGAAGATGTTTTATTTCTCATCCAAGAAGTGAAAACCAGAGAAAAACCAGGAAGTCCAGTTGCCCCTTGACAATAAAGCAACTTTATTGTTTCTGTGTTAATACTTTTCTCCATCTATCAAGTTCAGACTTAACATGTGTTATTATGGAGGCAGGGGCTGTGAGGTAGGGACAAGCCTTTGGGTGAGTCATTTTCATTTCTGAGATTTCTAGCAGTCTTTTTTTTTTTAAGAATAACTTCCCTTCCAGGATACTTTAAAGTATTCTGGTGATTAGCTAATATGCTTAGAACACCACTGAAGTGGTGGCTTGTTTATTTATATTCATTTAAAATATACACACAACACATCTTATTTTAAAACAGCTCAAAATAATTAACACATGCAACCATTCAATTAATGCAACATAAATTAAATTCAGTTATTTTAATCAGCAGCATATCACAGTAAGAGAGGGGAAAAGCAACAACATGAAGTCAAAAATATCACAAGAGTGTTATTATTTAAAACCTGGGATACTAACAGTATCTTTGCCTATCATAAAAAGGCAATAAAATAGTAAGAGATGTACCAAAAACAACCAGCAATGTCCTACTTCCAGGTAACCATTTGCCATCCAGCTGTAAGCAAGAACCACTTGAAGGCAGTTGTAGCTACACCTTGTCTGGACAATAAGATGCCAGACCAATGGTACTGAAAATTGCTGAGAGATCCAGGAAAATCAATAAAGTTCATTTATTTAAAGCATTTTTATGGCTGCTCAGCTCAGACAATGTGACTCAGTAGCGTACAAAAGAAAGACAAATCTGTCTATGTGTCTTTCTGTGGGAGGGGGTGGGGGTATGATATGTGAAAGAAATATACACATACTAACATACGTGTGCGCACACACAAACACACCAAGTAGACAATAAATGGTAAAAATGGCTGATGTATAACACCTAAAAATGAGAACTATATTCATCCTCTCTCTTTCCCGCCAAAGAACATCCAACAGCAAGCAAGGTTCTTTCAGTGCCAAAACTGAACCTGAAATATATCTGTGATAGGTCTACCTAATCTATTTCATCAAAGAGCATTTGGAACCAACCAACCACTTTATTTCATCATATATTAAAAATATATGTTTGAAACACAAATGGAATGCCCGGCAAGTCAAACTTGTGTTTATTTAATCCTTGTCAGCTTCTCCCAGCAACTGTTGCATCCCAAAGCAGAGCAAATGTTGGGGGCTCCTGCTAATTTTATTGTTGCTGTTTATAACTGTAACATTAGGGAAAAAATGCTTCCTCCCCCCCTCCCCCACGCTTTGACTCATTTCTAGTTTCTCTTATCTGGTTGATCTGCAGCTGCAGGAACTGTTTCCTGCCGCAGAGATGCTTGTTTTGTTATTAAGAACAGGGTTGCCTCCGTTTTATGAAAGAAACAAAAATTGTAAACCTGACCTTACCCATTTAGCACCTGCATCATCAAGGCAGCTATTCTACCACAACACGATCACATTGTACCACTACAGCTGCCGAGGGTGGGGGGTGGGAAGTGAGATTGGCCTTTAAAAAAAAATAGCATTCTTTCTCTGTTGTTCTTAAAGAATGCTGTGTTTTCCCCCTTTGTACATTGCTGAATGTTTCTCAGGTTGTTATCAAATAAAAGCCACATTTTAAGATACTATTATGGCTCCAAAGGTTTTTGGCTCCGTTCATGAGAAATCATAGTGTGGATGCCCAACACTTGTATTCATTGATACAGAGCGGTATGTCACACTGAGCTCTACCTCCTTTCCTTAAAATTGCTTCAAGCTGAGCTGGTGACTTCATGCTCAGATCCAAGCAGTTTTCTTGGCAATCCTATAAAAATGGTTTGGCACTGCTATCTTCTCGGGGTGTTTCTTGATTTCCCCATATACCAACAGCCCTGACATTCTCTGGAAATCTCCTGGTGAAGCACTGATCAGGTCTAACCCAGAAGAAGTCTGCCAGGCAGTGCCACCTGCTTAGCCTTCCTCCTGTTGAGACAGGTTCATTCAGCTTCTGCTATCAATGAGCTGGCTGGGAATATACTCAAAGTCTAAAGTGCATTTTGAAGGGTATGTTGGCTAAAAGGAAAGAAGTCATCAATATCCACTCCTTTCCTCTTGAAACACAGGCTTCCAGTAGAGAAGGAGAACTTGAGAGAAATCAGAGGGTTTGCCTTTAAAGCCATGCTCTACTTGGGCAGGAGAAAACACGCTCCCACCTATTCACTGCATCACAATGTGTTCACATCGCCCCCCGCTGGATTGTATACAAATCATATCAATGCCACTTTCTTTTTGTGCCCCGAATCTTCCTCTTTCATGTTACAATAATTTTATTAGCTACGATGTGATACTGATGTAAAGCATGAGCCACCCGTTTAGAAGTTTTCGTATTTTAGTACACTTGAAAGAGAGGCACAGGCGGTTATTCCATCCATTGCTTGTCAGGTAAGCGGAAGTGACTAAGAATAGCAAAAGGAAAAGGTGATTCATGTTAAGCAGAATTTTCCTCTGCTGGAAACTGACAAACCTTTCCCCCCCCCCGCCCCCAACTTTGATCTGAAGGGAAGAATGGACTTTTAACTAAAAATTATTCATAGAACACCCTGCCTCTCAAACTAACCAGCCATTGATTACATGCCATGAAGTTGTTTTCAACTCCTA